TAACTTCTGCATTGGCAGCTCCGGAGCACACTCAATTGGGACTAAAAGAAGTAACATTTGTACTACAATGAGTCGTATAGAGTCATCGTATAAGAAGAACAACAAGAAAAGAAAATATTGGTGCAGAATTCAACAGCTTCTAAGATCGTAAGAACAGCCAATCATTTACCGGAGTTCATCATGATACCTATAGAAAGGCACAAATTGTTGGGTAAAACAACAGAACATACCTCTATAGGGGTTTATACGAGAAATTTCTTAGACGTCTCCCCCAGTGTCCGCCAAAGCAACCTACATGTGGAGTTTGAATTTGGATGCGCCTTTTCCTTTAAACGGTCACCTGAGGTCTGAATCTCAATGCAAATATCATTACACCAATAATAAAGGTGCATATAACCCCATAACCTGTACATAAAGAACGGCACATGATCCAATTTATGACGTTATGCCTTGTCAGACCATGTCGTGAACTTTTCTAAACCGGATAAACTCTCGCACGGATTTATAACGTGCGTCTGTGATATGCACCTCCGGAAAAAACCCCCGTGGAGAAGTGAAGCGGTCACCTGTGGAGCAGAAATTTCGATCGACGTTTCAAGTTCAAATCGTTTCCTGTTGTCAAAGGGCTTGAGATTTACCACTTGAACATTTGTGCTCAGAACTCGGAGACAATTCCCACGAGTGGTGTCCAAAAACACTATAAAAGCAGCACAGAGATGTCGTTGACAAAAGATGCCTCAGAGGACCAAGAAGACATCAAGAGTCTCACGATGAACACTAGTTTAGTTGATTCCAGCATTTACAGACCATTAGTCCATCTAACGCCACCAGTGGGGTGGATGAACGACCCTAATGGTCTCTTCTACGATTCATATGAATCTACCTACCATGTGTACTACCAATACAACCCAAACGATACGATTTGGGGATTGCCTCTATATTGGGGACATGCCACCTCTGATGATTTGTTAACGTGGGACCACCATGCGCCTGCAATTGGACCTGAAAATGATGATGAGGGTATTTACTCTGGATCTATAGTCATAGACTACAATAATACCTCAGGGTTCTTTGATGATTCAACAAGACCAGAACAGAGAATCGTTGCCATTTATACCAATAACTTACCAGATGTCGAGACGCAAGACATTGCCTATTCCACGGACGGTGGTTATACTTTCGAAAAGTATGAAAACAACCCAGTTATAGACGTCAATTCGACCCAATTTAGGGATCCGAAGGTGATTTGGTATGAGGAAACTGAGCAATGGGTCATGACTGTGGCAAAGAGTCAAGAGTACAAGATCCAGATTTACACCTCTGACAATTTGAAAGACTGGAGTTTGGCCTCGAATTTCTCAACCAAGGGTTATGTTGGTTATCAGTATGAATGTCCAGGTCTATTCGAAGCCACTATTGAAAACCCAAAGAGCGGTGATCCAGAGAAGAAATGGGTTATGGTCTTAGCAATCAATCCAGGCTCACCTCTTGGTGGTTCCATAAATGAATACTTTGTTGGTGATTTCAACGGTACTGAATTCATTCCAGATGATGACGCTACAAGATTTATGGATACTGGTAAGGACTTCTATGCCTTCCAAGCGTTCTTCAATGCACCAGAGAATCGGTCAATTGGAGTTGCCTGGGCATCGAACTGGCAGTATTCCAACCAGGTTCCGGACCCAGATGGATATAGAAGCTCCATGTCATCGATCAGAGAGTACACTCTGAGATATGTCAGTACGAATCCAGAATCTGAACAGTTGATCCTTTGTCAAAAACCATTCTTTGTGAACGAGACAGACTTGAAGGTGGTTGAAGAGTACAAGGTTTCAAACAGCTCCTTGACTGTGGACCACACGTTTGGAAGCAGCTTTGCAAACTCCAACACCACTGGACTGTTGGATTTCAACATGACTTTCACGGTTAACGGTACAACTGACGTTACGCAGAAGGACTCCGTCACCTTTGAGCTCAGAATCAAATCTAACCAAAGCGACGAGGCAATTGCGCTTGGTTACGATTACAACAACGAGCAGTTCTACATCAACAGAGCCACAGAGAGCTACTTCCAGAGAACCAACCAGTTCTTCCAGGAGAGATGGTCCACGTACGTCCAGCCTCTCACAATCACCGAATCTGGTGATAAACAGTACCAGCTCTACGGATTGGTTGATAACAACATCCTTGAGTTGTACTTCAACAACGGGGCATTCACATCCACAAACACCTTCTTCTTGGAGAAGGGCAAGCCATCAAACGTCGATATCGTGGCAAGCTCCTCCAAGGAGGCTTACACCGTGGACCAGCTGACTGTGAGACGTCTCACTGTTTGACGAATACGCACGTGAAAGCTATATAAGGGATCACGTGGTATAAAATATGTCGGTCTAAGGCCTTCAGCAAACCGCCACTATATAAACAGGCAGGTTTGTCACTTTTCAACAAAACAAATATACTTCTTCTTTTACCCTTCAGCGTAGTTTGTCTTAGTACTTTTTTCAATTACATATACAACAACATGAGCAGTCTTTGGATAGCAATCGATAATGCTCTCTTTGTTGAAGAGAACCGGTCGCGTGTGTTATCCCGCGAATCCCCGGTTATCGAAAGAGGTGGTGGTATAGCTTATCCTTTTGTTGTCTCTACCATTATGCTCTTATATGCAGTTATATGTGGTGATATGCAGTATTTGCAGTAGTAGTGGGTAGGAAGGAGAGAGTAGTGGTCCGTTTCTATGGATACAAGAGGGATCCAGCCGCGCTCTTCCGGTGAAATATGGTTGGTTATACAACTGAGGAACTATCAAGAATACATTGATCATTATAGTACTCTGTGAGGAGTCTGCATGAAAGCCACCTTATGTTGGTTGCCAGTTCATTGGATCTGCTCCAGCTTCTTCCATAAGATTTTCAGTCTTCTGATTCCTCTTCTATTCTGACTTTCTTGGTCGTCCTCGTCCTCTCTTCTGTTCTGACTTTCTTGGTCGTCCTCGTCCTCTCTTCTTCTCAACCTTGGAAGGATTTCTATTGGAAGCACCCGCGACCCTCTGGTTCTTCTTAGTCTTCTTTTTGATGCGCTGCATAGTGTCGTGATGCTCTTTTAACACTTGAACCGTCTTCAGGAGAACCGCTTTGTTGAATGTCTTCACCGCTGACCTGGAACTTTGAGACGTCGTCTTGCGTATGATACATCTATTGGCCTTTGACAAACAGCTCTGGTATCTGAATACTGGTGGGCAGTAACTGGAATTCGTCTTTGTACTATCTTGATAGAGAACCTCTTTGGCAAATATCGACAAGGATGGGATAAGGCCTTGGCCGTTGTGTGCCCTTCTCATCTTCACACAAGTAATATGAGGACATTCGAAGAATGTATACGCTTGCTTGTGACAATGGGAACAGTTGTACGTAGCCTTTACTTCCATTGTACCCTCCTTTGAGATGGAGCATCGCTTCTCAGTAACAACGGCTGTTCTGGTTCGCAATTGATAATAAACATAAGCACGAAAGTTGATAAACGAATCACATCTTCCCATCTTCTTTGTATAAACTCTCAACACCTTTAGAAGCTCATCAAGAGACAAATCACAGTCCCACGATACACTGTGTTTGTGAGTCTCCATATCTGTTCCAGGTAAACTCTCATCAACGGTTACACTGGTCTCTTTGATATTTAGACAAGACGAAGTAATGATATTTGTTGAGTACAACAATAAGCCATAGTTTGTGAGCACCTCGACATATTCTGGTTCTTCCTCTTCATCAACAGAGTCGCTTGTGTCATCTAAGTCGCTCGTGTCATCTAAGTCGCTTGTGTCATCTAAGTCGCTCGTGTCATCTAAGTCGCTCGTGTCATCTAAGTCGCTCGTGTCATCAAAATCGCTCGCGTCATTCATCTCTTCATCATTTCCAGTCACCTGTCTCACTTTATGCCAATCAAAGGTCATGGACTCTGCGATTTTTACCTTGTCACACTGCATCAGCAGCACTTCGATAATGAGATTTGTGGGGTTCAATCGCCTAAATGCGTACATCTCTGCATTCAAAATCTCACAATGATTGGATGTCATGATATCAAACCTTGGAGTCACCGAATTGTACAGTTGAAGACCTCTAGCACAGTCTTGTGTGTTGGTAATGAGATTATAAGTACTGTTGACAGTCTCTTTCTTATGCCTCTCAAAGAAAACCCCCTTCATTGCTTCTTGGATTGGTGAGACCTTTTCTGGATCAGATTCAAATATCAACCGGAAAAAGTTATGTTGCATAGCCCTTCTATGCTTTGCGATTGTGTACTTGGAGAGATCTCTCTCGACGTGTTTAGAGCATGCGAAGTTCTCAATCGGAACACCACACCGGGTTCTCAACATATCCAAGGCCCTCTTGATACCCTTATCTTGATCCGATATGATTTGTAATCGGGGAGTGCTCTCCTCAGTGATACTATCATCATGCAATTGCAGGGATTCTCGTAGCTTTTTCCAATGCGATCCACCATTCTTCTTGAAGAATGTGTATAGGAAGGTAAACCATTCTAATCCACACTCCGCGTTCTTTGAAAGCATCATACCCAGGGGAACCAGTCCCTTGGACCCAGCCTGGCCGACAATAGTGTATAATGTAATAAAATCCTCCTTGTATCCCTCATTATTGTATAAAGACAAATGGCAAGCATCTAATGAGAGTGTTGGTACTAGGCTTTCGTAGAATTGGTCATCAATGGAGTTGGAGAAATAGATGCACTTGATTTCATCTTGTGGATGTGATATTAAATTGAGCACGGGGGAAGTCAGCTTTGACGATTTTACAGCAGCTTTCAACAGCTTTTTTGCCTTGTCAGTGTTAAACTTTAGCTTCTTATCACCCGCTTGTGTAGTCCTCTTCTTATTAGAGAGAATTGTCAGATTTTTCAGCACTAACTTTTCACCCTGAGAATCGGCTGCAGAATTATCTTCAGACTGATCACTTATGACATCTTCCAATTGTTGTAAAAACTCATCCTGTGCCTCTTTCCATTCAAGAGTTGTATCGCTGACAGCTGGGCCATCTGCATCTGTTGTTGGAGCAGAGTCACTCTCTACTTCTTGCTGTTGTCCATCACCTGCCCAATCGGAAATTATTCTGGACAGCTCAGTTGCATTCTCCTTGCTTAGGATGTTGTCGATATACCTGTTATCCTGTAGAAGTAATGCTATCTCAAAGTGCTTCAAACCCTCTAGAAGGTCTTGACCTTCTTGATTGTCTTGTACATCAGCTGCCAGGCTATTGCTCTTTCTATCATCTATGTGTGAAGTTGAGAGTGCAGCCAATAACATCTGTATCGTGTAATCTCCATTTGCCGTTTTATCTGTGAATTTAGAGAACGACGTTCCCGAGGAGGCTCGTTGAACAGAGTCAAATAATAGATCTTTTGGCTCCTTTTCTTTAGATTCAAATTTAACCTGGCATGTATCTTCTATCGTCTCCTGTGAGTTGGTGTAAATGCTTCTCAAGGTGAGATCAGCAGCTATTGCGGAGAGTTTTTTCTGATATGAAACCTCTTCATGAGGCAGAATTACTCCATTGTTCAGTTCATCTGGATCATAAAGCCAATCAACCATTGCTTTACCAACCTTAGAGGTCGAGTGAGATCTCATCTTTGAAAAGAGCAGATAGTCTTTGAGATAACCGAGGCTATCAATCTCAATTCCATTTTCGTTTGTATCAAAATACCCACCACGTCTCAGCAGATCAACAGCTCTTTCAAGTTCAGGACCCCTAAGCTGTTGTGTTTCAGCAGTACTTCGAGCCAGTGCCCTTTTCGTCAACTTTGGAACCTCACAACAATGTCTCTGGTTGACACAACTAACAGTGCATTGTATGTCATAGTCTAGGATCTTAGTCTGGCAAAATGAACACCGAACCACACGCCTATTATTGGGCCTTTGTTCAATAGAAACATGGACATGAAGCTTCAAGAGACAATATATTTGAACAGCTTGTTGTAACATATGTAAAGACAATAATCTCTCCTCCACAACGAGGGCTTTGTTTTGCCTTCTCTCAATTCCTTGGTTAATGATTGACGTTGCGGTATTTAAAAGGGAAGTTGTTGTACTTCTTCGATAAACAGGCTCGGTAGATTCAAGAGGTGGCCGTGGTAGAAATACAGTGTCCTCACTAGATGATGGCTGCTCTACAATGCTTGTCTCGTTTGCCTCACAATCCTCAACATCGGGCACAGTTCCAGTTTGTGCTTCAGCATCAGAATCAACATCTTGATACCAAGACGTATCTGACATCATCTCCTGATGACACATGCCGAACTCGACAAAGCGTCTTCTCAAATCACTTAATACATTCCCCATATTGAAAGAAAAGCTGCTTTCGAGACTGTTGAACAGCTCAATACACACTTGGAAATGATGTTTACATTCGTCGAGATGGTCCTTCAGGACCCTTCTCTCCGCCACTGGTGAAGCTGATATCTTCTTCTTCACACAAGCAAGCATATCGATCATCCGAGGAGATAGGGACATAACGATGTCCGGGTCTGGTAGAGACATTATGCTTGCCAGTGATCTGTATTCATCGCACGTATTTGCTGTTTGGTCTAATGATTTGTTTACGTTCGCTCTTGGAATTTGTCTCGCGTCTGTGTTATTGTTTTGACCAAGAGGTCTGGATGTGGTGTGCGGGTGAAAGAGTTTGGGACTAGAGATGCCAATGATAGCTCGCTTGATTTGCACTTATTTAGTGGGTGAAAAGTGTTGAGGTTCCATGGCCTTTTAGGCCTCTAATAGCTCGATCAGCGAATGCTAATGCGAGAATGAGCATCATGTATATATTCCTATTTTTGAGTTATATTTTAGTTCAATTTATCTCCTTTTTCTTACATTATTCTTGTGTTATTCTTGCTAGTTCTTGATAAAGCTGTTTCTTCTTCACCGAAATTTACCAAGGGCTTTAGGTATGTATCCTAAAAATTGCATACTTACAAAATTCAACCTTCCAATATTGCCAATCACTCTATTTTAGCTAGTTTTGCAAATGTTTTCGCTCTGGAATTTTATTCTACACATTATGCTGTTCTTCAGGCACCGAAAGCACCATGTTGGTAACGTTTGAAATGGCTCAACCTTTTGCCTCAATTGCGGGAAAGAGGTATCCAATACGCCCCATAAAAATAGTGTAGTAACGATATAATGATACGAGATTATATTATATGGAATGTGGGGCCTTGGTAGATATATTCCAGTTGCATTCAGACACTTTTTTGTTGCTGTGGGTTCTCCACAAGTTAAGACGCAGTATGATCAACACTTACAAGCTCATAACGTTTCACTGATATACAAGACTTGGGTGCTATAAGTGAGACTTAAGGTGATATACCAGTAATATATCTAATGATATAACGTGTTGTCTCCAAAACGAAGCGTGAAGAATAGTGTCATTTATTTGGATCGAGACATCGAAGACTTAAGATCTGGTTGGGAAAAGTCCTTAAGGCAAGGTGCCATTGAGCAGGGTATAGCCTTTTGAAGTTTTTCTGAAGATATCCTTCTGATAAATAACATGCACAGAATGGTTATATAGGCTATATAATCGACTGTAAACCCTTTGATCATATGGTTATTGTAGAATATAAAAATCTTGTTTTCATATGGCCAAAGGAGCAATCGAACAGAAAGGATATACGCAGAGTTAGAGCAGAAATTTCACTCTATATTGGAGCTTTTGGTTTCTCGTTCCGGCCAGACAGTTAATATAGAGAGCACAAGTACATCATTACCCAGGCTGCTAATTCTCAAACTGATAGACAATGGTCATTATTGCCTTTAAGAGTTCATTCATTTCACTGTGGTTGTTGTGCTCCAGAAATTCCGTCATATTTCTGGTTTCACTTTCCACTTGCACCTATTCACCGTGTAATGAGAAGGATCCAGCCCAGCTGGGTGAGAGTAACTCGTTGGAATTTCTAGAATTCTACTCATCAGCTTGAGCCAAGTAAACTCGATAACTGTTAGTTAGCCTCGAGCGAGTTTCAGCTGTGTGTACTCTCTTTTTGATTTTAATCTATAGTACTCTATGATGAAAGTGAAAGCTCTTTCTCAATAGATGTAGCACAATACACTCTTCTTTGTGCGGTTTAAGTGCATACTTCATCAGTGTATCCCTTAGATATGCCAGTGAAGATACTGGCTTTCAAGTGTTAGTATGTAGCCATTAAGCACTAGATGTGTATGACGTCTACAGGTCACCAGGGCTTGGTTTGTCCAACTAGACATATACATAAGATTAGGTCATATTGAACCGAACATTTCAAGTCTATCAAAGATACACCAAATGAATTTTACACTGACCACCTTCAAACCTAAAGAGCAGTACTGAATTGTATGGTGGTTCTGCGTATAATGAATTCCGCAACAGTTGGTTGAGCTTTGAGCTCTCTGCTCTTATGTTAAGGCCCTCCCACAGTGTCGATACATCCTATGCTAGACTTCATAAGTCAGTTAGACGATATAAAATCTGGTCGCTTTTCAATCCAGCGGGATCATAATGACTGTTTATGCTACAACTTTGGAGCCATACGTAAACACCGCTTATCAGATCTACAATCTCAGAGTTCTGTAACTCAGTCATGGTGGTCCCAAAGAGACATAGAGTAAAATCTCTCGAGGTCAACTCTGATCAAGAGGAGAGCCTTGAAATCGTCTTAATTTGCACATTTCTGTGCTCTATTTGACCCATTTCTACTCTACAATTCCCAGAACTGCCCTTAGCTACGACAAGATCAAATACAATGGCTACAGACCCAAAAGGCCTCATACTTAAGAACAGCGAGAAAGTGTGTATTATGGCCATCGAATAAAGCACTCACATAGCTCGTTCTGGAACGCTGTCGTGCGGTCGTGCCCCGGTCATGAGCCCGCCCGAATGGACACCCAGTCCACAATTCAAGCACATACATCTCAACAACCACACAGGCCAGTGCGATACAAAGTTGACAGTGAAGATCAGAAAAATTCGCTCTCTTCTATAGTCCTTTCACTACTCTCATAACACCACTTTTGGGCCAGCAATGAAGTTTAGAACACAGTTCTCAATTTTGAAACCAATTCGCTCGCCAAAAATTTCCCAAGACCGACATACAAAAAACTCCCCGAACTGACTTTCGGGCCAGCTCCATCATTAACTATGATACGAACACATGGATTACACCGCTCCATAGCGAACCATTCGCTCAATAAACTCATAAAACCTACTGTTTTGTATACTACATCAACATCCAATATTCATGTGTATCACAGATGGCCCACATGTACGCCATAGAGACACACACCTGCCCCGTGCAGCCGATTCCGTAGTGAAGGGCAGGCTTGTTGCGCTCGCAGCTAAATTGCAGCCTGGGGGAGAAATTCCCAGTAGGACGTCCCAATTAGGGCAACTTGCTAGTATCGCTTCATCATCTGTTGACATCTTGCGTAAAAAAGCTGGGAAAGATCGAAATATAAGCAATTTTCCCGTTGTTACTACTTTTCATGTACACAGTGTAGACATAAAGATATAAGAGCAAGCGATGGAGGAGAAGAAAGTTGTGTGTATCACTTGTAAGGAGAAAAGAAGAAAGGTGAGTTACTTCGAATGGTGGAGGAAATAGAGAGAGAGCATCGCTAACTGTGTGGGAAAAACAGTGCAACGGTAAGAATCCATGTCTATGGTGCAAGAAGTACAACCAGCCTTGTTCTTACAATATCGACAGTGATCGAAGAAGGCGGAAATACCATACGGATTACATTGATTTCTTAGAGTCCAAGAGCCACAGGCTGAAGGAGTTCATTACGAAATTCGCCAAAGACGATGAGGAGCTCCAGCAGTTGGTTGTTGAGAAGTTGCAGGAGCTGGATTCGAAGGAGCTCCCCCAGTTGAAACCAGTCAAGGACGAAATAGACGGCAGCGTCGAGTCCGTGGAGAACTCTCATCTTATAGAGGAGCTGATGGAGGCCACGAGGAACCTCCGGCTCGATGATGAAGAGCTTAAGCCGAATTACGTCTACAATTCGTTCACCTCTGAATTACAGGAAAAGATCTTGGAGAACAAGGCGAAGTTCAGCTCGGACGTGATCAACTCGGAGTCGTCGCCGTTGGCTCTGGTTGGCTATACGCTAGTCTTCAACGACTTAAGCTACCAGACGTCGCTGGTTCATCTGTTCGAACAGAAATTCGCCATTCATTCGATGTTCTTCCTGAAACTTTTGCCCGTGCTATGGCAGTGCGACTACAACTCCATACTGGACCCGGGCATCAGGCTGCTGATGAACGTTGTCTTCGGCATAAGCTCAAACTTCTCGTCACACCCGCTTGCAAAGGTCCACGGAGACTACTTCATCGCACTGGCTAGAGATTCCCTGATGAGTGTGGTGTGTAAATCTCAGACAGACACCAACATCATCGCAGCCTTGCACCTGCTTTCATGCTACGAAATGGGACAGAATGAACCGTTCCAATCATATCTGCTGGATTCAATGGCTTGCTCTCTTTTGCAGCATATGGGACTGCACATTTCGTACGATGGACAAGAGGATGCGGACGGCCAAACTTATGCCCCTAAGCAGACTCCATTCAAGGCTGCAGCACTGTGGTCCGTATGCACGCATGATCGCATAATAACAAACGTGATCAATGTTCCATCGGTGATACATTTCAAACGAATCGTGGCACCGTTCTACCAGATTGTGAGCGAACCGTCGGACCAGATCCATTTCCAGGAGTTGTCATTTGCTTACATCTCACGCATGTGGTATATCTTTGACCGATTTACGGACCAGATATACTCTGTGCACTTTGACCTCGGGGAGACGAACAACAGACAGAAGGTGATGGCAACGGCGAAGAAGACGTTCAACGAGCTGTATTCATCGCTGCCGTCTCTGCTGAGGCTGAAATCACCGAAAACGCTGGACTTGTCTGACCCAAATCAGACCCATATACTGATTTTCCACCTGAACTACCACTATTTGAAGTTACAGCTGAACAAGATCTTCATAAGAGAAGCGTCGTATGAGTTGAAGAGTTCCATTCTGAAGGAGGCTTCCAAGTGTGGGGAGTTGATCCACACCCTTGTGTCGCAGAGAGAGGTCATTGACGTTGACCTCTTGCCGTATTACTTGCCAAATTTCGTCAACACAATAGTATTGGTGTATCTGTTCATCTTGACAACAGCCAATACAAGCACATCTACTGAAGTCAGTGACAACGAAGTTTCAACGTTCTATTTCTACTTCACACAGGCCAAGACTCTCTTACAGATGTTGAGTATAAACTGGAAATTGGCTAAAAGCTCACTGGAAAATCTATTGAAATTAGAAACCAAGTTTAACTTACAGCCACCTCTATCCTCCTGGAGTACCTTTTCACCAACTGTGCACTCCGATGTCATTACACCGGTGACTGGGACCGACGTCACGCCATTATCCACTACCGGTGGATTCCTGGCATCCACTGATAGTGCATTCTTGGATTGGTTCCAGGAGTTTCCAGATTTTGAACAGATAAAGCATTCAAGACAAGAGATACGGCAGCGGAAACCAGCACAACAGCAACCAACACAAATGTATACCAATTATCCGATTCCAATGTCATTTGAAACCGATACTCCAATGGCCCCACTATCAACAGAACAGGCACCTAGCACCTATCCCATAGGTGATGATATGAATGAGTTCGAATACCACGTTGACAATCTATCCAACTGGGAGTGAGAACAAGTACATGAGCGATATAACAAATACGCTATATATTGTACACACACGCCCTTCTATAATGGGAATTGATCCATGAAGCAGTTGGCATCCCTTTGATCGTTTGGCATCTCGCTCATCCCAAAGCTGTTTGTTTGACGTGATAATGCCTCTTCGAGGCATGGCACGTTGATCTTCCATCTCTTTGCCAATTCGCTCAACACCTGGATATCCCTTACACCACGTCTCCAATACCTCCCAATGACCACCAAACAAGTGATGTAGATCTTCAATCTATCAGCACTTCTCGACCTCAGACTCTCGTCCTTGTTGGTCATGAGGAAGAGATCAAACGTTGCACAAGTGAGCACGAGATACGATGCAAAATACGGGATGTCCTCGTTGCTCTCAAACTGTGCTGTTAACCGACCTATGAGATCGGCAGAGATCTCACACTGTTGCATCATGGTGTTGATAACTTTCAACGGCATCTGTTTGAGATAGGCCCTGTGCAATAACAGGTAAACCACCGAAAATGACAGGTGCAATGTCAGGATCCTTGTGTCTGTTATTACATACGATAACTTGAAGTCCTCCGGCAGCGAATTCTGTAGTTCTTGTAGTGCTTCAACGCCCTGTTGAATCAAGGAGAGTCTATGAGAAGCGTGTAGGAACTCAGCCTTTGAAGAGTAGATCTGTCCAAGGAATTTGTCATGGATAAACCATAGCTTCGTGTGGAATGCAAACGAGACCTCTGTTATGTATTCCTCCAGGTTATTCTGCCTTAGCAGCGGCTTGTAGAAGTCCGTTTGCACCCTGAAGTACTGTATACGGCAGCCACGTCCCAATACACTGGTGATGATTCTATCCTGAAGTATGATGGACCAGAACATCGCAGATGACTTCCCTCTATAAGGGACAAGTGTGTTGTTTGCCGTTGAGTTCATGGTGGGCATTAGATGTAAACCCATGTACTGGGTCATACTAGCACTCATGACGCAGTATGCCCATGAATTCGCATCCAATCCCATTCCCAGTTGGAAACAGCTCAGTATCAGGAAAGCCTGTAAGACGTATTCGTTGATATTCTTTGAGGCCTTCATCGTCATGAATTCAGCCTCTTGTAAGAATGTGAATGCCAGGTCTCGATGGTTACTGAAAGATGCTCCATACGTGAAGATTGCACACATCAGCAGCTGTTTGGAAACGTCCTGTGAAGGATACTCCCACGTCCGAACTTCATCCAAAGTCTGCCACGAAGCTAAGAAATAACGGGCAAAGGACTTTGCAAAATTATCCAGAAGCTGGCTTCTGAACTCTGCAGAGCTTGAGACCAAGTCGAACTTGGTGGATGCTCCAATGAACTGGTCCTCCTTCTCTAGGCTCTCGTCCACTTTCTGGCGACCACTTATCGGCCCGTAGAACTCGGTGATATCCCTATTCGTCGACTTCTGTCTAACACGCCATTTCGTATTCACCAGCTCATCTATGGCCTCCTCGTCTGCCAAATTCTTAACGAATTCCTCACTCATACCAACCTTGTTGTTGTTTGGATTCCCTGCTGAGTTGAGTTGAAGTTCGTTCAGATCTGCCTTCAACTTTTCAAAGCCAAGCAGCTGGGCCTTTTCGGGGTTCTCCCGAGCCAGCTCATCAACCAGCTGCTCTATCAAATCAGCTTTCAGCTCCAAATAGTCCACATAGGTGGAATCGAACTTCCATTTCCTTCTATCCTTATCAACTGGATACTCACAATCGGCCTTGTTGTACTTGATACACATCGAACATGGCTTTTGACCATCGCACCTTCTTTTCCTCTTTCGGCAAAACGTGCACGCCATGGTGGCAGTCTTCTTCTCACCCATCTTTGAAGTATCCAGAGAGCCCTTGAGCCCCAGCTGGTGGCTGAAGAGCCGTATAACATCATTGGATGATATAAGAGCTATGAGTCCATCGTGCAACAACACCCAGACACCTATTAATCCAGACACCTATTAATCCAGACACCTGTAAATCCAGACACCCAAACATCCATACACCAAGCAATAACTGTGGATACACACTCAACCAAATACACCAACTGTTCATGACACATCTTATACACACCAAGAGGTGTAGAACTGACCCAGCCAAAGTCCTCTCATCATGTGCTGACTATCAAACAACATAAAACTATAGTTTCTTGTTATAAATGACTATTAAAAAAAGCGAAATAATGGGTATGTATTATGTAGAGAAGGTTACAAGTACGGCGTGGATGAATATTACGACTGTCTCTTCTCTTCACCTTGGGAGATTTCAGTCTTTTCCGCTTGACTGGACACTTCGTTATTTGTTGTGCTTGTTGAGCTTGAAGGCTGGTGTGCTTGATCGATGTGGTCCAATTCGTGAGGCAATTGAGAGCCTGTTGGTATACCCATAGTACCGTCAGAGTTCTGAACACCACCCCAAGCTAAGAAGTCTCTTCTGACTTCAACGTAGTCGTAGGCGAATTCACCGATTTGGTCCTCATCCATACCCACAGCTTCAGCTTCTTCACTTGCCCTTAGGTGTAAGCCTGGCACTTTATCAATGACGAAGCACAAAATTGCAGTTACAGTGACGGACCAGCCGATGCAAACACCTATCCATGCAATCTGTTTATAGATTTGTTTGTAGTTGTGTGATATCCAGCCACCGTCGTGCTCAGTGACACCATCCATCCCAATGACCCAGTCTGCTCCAAACAGTGCGTTGGCCATCAGCCCCAGGACACCAGCCATTCCGTGCTCAGCCAGGATATCGAGGGCATCATCGACTCCCACCAGGTACTTGATACCAGTGGAGAAGTTACACACGACACCGGTGACAATTCCCAAAACCACTGAGCCATAGGTTGGAATATCTCCTGAGGACGGCGTAGCAGCAACTAAGCCTGAAATGATACCAGAACACATACCAACGGTGGACCATTTGCGTTCCAGCCTGTAGTCCAGCAAACACCATGTCATTGCTGCAAAACACGCACACAGGTTTGTATTCATAATGGCGTACATGGCTCTTAGAGAAGGATAAAGCGCAGTACCGCCGTTGAAGCCCAGCCAGCCAAACCAAAGAATCGTCGTTCCCAACGTCACCAGGGACACGTTATGAGGCCTGAAATTGATCAACAGCTTCTCCTTCCGTCTCCCCAGGAACCACGAGTACGTGAACCCTGTGAAACCAGAGAGGATCTCAATCAAGCCGCCGGCATAGTCCAGCACTCCCCAGCGGGCAGCCCAGCCAGCGGGTCTCCAGATCCACGCAACGACAGGACAGTAGCACAGCGTTGCCCAGAGGAACAGGAACACCATATGAGGCAGCAGACGGCCTCTCTCAGCGACACAGCCCGCTATGATGGCCAGCGTAACGCACAGAAACATGTTCTGGAACAC